GCCTTGTGACGCCAGCAGGAACATGAACTCAGAATGCTACAGAACCTTTTTGTCTTCCTGCTTAAACTGATTCATTTGATGACATAACCAGAAAACATGACTGTCAAAACAGCCAAAATTGATAACAGGGCTAAGCTTTAGACTGGCCAATCTCCAGATATAAACTCGCTCTGATGGAGGGCGAAACGTCTCAGAGTAAACAGTTTAAAAGGGATTAAGCTTCAGAACGACTGTGGAAGTTGCTATGCTACCAAGAAAAATTAGAAAGTCAGGTTTTCAAAAAAAAAAAAAAAAAATAGGGAGATAGAGAGAAAATGAATGTCCTCTATCCTCAATTTGTAGCCCAGTTTTTCTCCAAGAGAGGTGGGTAGACTGTAGATTATCAACTATTTAGTATAGTTAGCTTAGCTACAGACTACTGTTTACCTCCATTTCATTTAGTGAATGAAGGAACAAATCTACCAATGTATTCATATATTTAACTTGTCCCTGTAACTTTTATAACACTTAACAGGTGAGTCAGTCAGCAGCAGCTCTAACCCCGATACCAGCATAATCCCTCTTACCCTTTCCCCGTTCCAGTGACAAAGGTAAGCAACACTGTGTTCAATGACAACATAGTTAGCATAATTCCAGGGAATCCATAGAGATTGTTCTTGTTTCTCTGCTCTTTTTAGAATTACACAACAAAAAATATATTTATTACTGACAGAAATTCAATCTTTATAAAAAGATAACAAAAATTAGCCTCCTGTCAATCCAGATAGTCCTACACAACACGGTGACAGCTTTAACAAATATGGAGAAACATATTTTTTAATTAAAGTTATATACTGTAGCTTGAACAAAATGCAACTTCTAGCATTTTTTATAAGTCTGGATTGCTTTATGTATATTTTGCATGTAGCCTATGACTGTTGCTGGTGGGGAGAGACCTTCCTGTAAGCTAAAGCTAATATTAAAAAATTAAGCAACCTATTTGCATAGTGTATGTGGACTGTTGCATTTAAAATTCACTAGCCTTAAATATTGTGGTAGTATCAATATTGGACCAAAGAAAGCAAGGCAGTTGCAAGCTTTTAGATTGTGATGCTTTTGATGAGTCAAGAAACTGTAACAGCAGGTGCTCAGGAGGGGCCCAATTTAATTTTTTGTCATGGGGCTCAAAGTTCCTTGCAGCGCCCCTGCATATTGGGGATATTGGGTACGTCAGGATGTCTTGGTACCTGTTGAGAATTGTTTCAACTCCACAGCCTACCTGAGTGTTTTTGTTGACTTCTGTGACCCTATGTGTTTTTCATGTCTCCTTCCTGCTGGACAGAGCACCATGTCACAAAGCTCAAATCATCTCAAAGTGGTTTCTTGAACATGACAACGAGTTCACTGTGTTCCAGCGGTCTCTGATCTGGAGTCACCAGATCTCAGAGTATATCTCTGGGATGTGGTGGAAGGAGAAATTTTCATTGTGGACGCGAGGCTGACCAATCAGAAGCAGATGATGGTGTGGGTGTAATTCTCCCACACCAATTTGAACCAAAATCATCACCATTTATGTCATGAAAAGCAGAGGAGAAAATACTGGGTAGTTGTATTTGGTGCTAGTTTAAGTAAATCTGTTCCAAATGTTTTTCTCACCAAGAAATTTAGTTTACTTACTTTATCGTCCTGCACACAGAAAATGGTGGTAGCAATGTAAAAAAAAACAAAAAACAACTCATTGTTATACAAGTGCCAACATTTTTGTTCTTGTTATGTTATGCAGTTTACTGCGAATTACCTCAGTCTTTCCTTTAACGGTCTTACTGACCTTTTCGATGCCATGCCAGGAACTTTTTTTTTACCAGCATTTGTCAAAAAAACGCCTGTGACTTAATTAAAGTCAGATCCTACATTATTCCTGAGTTGGTAAAGGGCCAAATACGTCATAAGACAGAACTGACATCCCTTCTACTAAAGCTACATGACATTGAGCTCATTTTGCAGGGGGTCGCTTCCTTGAAGTCGTTTGATACTTTTTGGTGAGGAGCCTGATCACCCAGTGTCTGTGTGCGGTTTAACGGGGTCATCATGGTTGAAACGAACAGACCTCAGGTTGCCCTCAGATACCCGTGACACGGTCTGCAGACAGACCACTTATTGAGTCTGATGGCCTCCAGCGTAATGGGCTCTAGACCTTTGGAGGCACACAAATGGCTGGAGGAACTCGGCATGAACACTGAGGACTTTATAGCCCACCACAGTCATGAGCTGGTTCTTCAATACCGAGTGAAAGTGATGGGAAAAACTAATGTGTGCTGTTAGGGATAAATAGAGGCATAGTACATAAGAATGATGCCTTCTTTTTTCTTTTTACGTTGAGGCAAACTGAAGACGAGCCGCTGTAATCATTTGCTGCAGAATTGTTTGGGCGCAGCGTTGCTTTCCTCTTTGAGGCGCTCCTGTTTTATGGCAGTATATCAGATTATCTGTAGAAAATGAAGTTCCTTCTTTTTACTTGGAATCAAAGAATGAGGTCTCTCGTCTTCATTTTCTGTTGCTTCTCAGGTAAGTTTATTGCTCAGTTTGTATTTGTTAGAGTCAATATTTTGATTTTCCAAACTTCATCTAACATGTTTGACCCTAACAACAGAAGAAGACTCTAATTTCATGAATATCATAAAGTAAAATAAGTTTGAATGCGATTTACATTTTTGAATTATTTATCCACTGTGAAATTTTATGTTGCATAACAACAATTCAGCACTTTTTTTTAAAGAACAGACATCCAGTTTATTCAAGCTAGATCAGATAAGTTTGGATAAAGGGCAACCCAGAAGGGACAGCATAATGAGAGAACAATGTCGCCCAAGAAATGGTTTTGGATTTATTTAGTTTTTGAACATGTTTACTGCTCTGATTAATTTGTGTGCTGCTAAATAATCTCATCGTTACAACACACTCTATGGATTTGGGAACAATTAAATCCTCTTCCTGGAAGTCTTTAGCTTCGATACTTTCTTTACCTTAATTCTTGTCTATTTTTGAAAACCTGTGTTTACTATTCACTTGTTTCCTTGTTTGCGTCTCACAAAATTTGATATAAAAAACAAATGCCTATTTTCATGATACTATCACTTCAAAAAAAGAGGAAAAGATTGCAATAATTAAATTCCAGTGTTTGAACAATCCATTCATACCCGTTTTGTATCAGAAAAAGCTTCTTGGTTAATTAAAAAATAGTTTGCATCTACTTTTGCCATGGGTATAAACAATATTTGACTACTATAGAATGAGCCACTGTCGTTGGTTTACTATACAACCACACCTACATCTGTACAAATTTAATGCATTTGTTTGTCTTGAAATCTGTTTTTTCTTTTAAAAAAGTAACATTTTGCACAGCTTGGCCTGTTTTCCAAGTGCAACATTAGTCAGTTCTACAGAACTTTATTCCTGTACAGTTAGATCTGGATTTAGGTAAAAGAGGAGACTCTTCACTGTGATGGTACCACAGCAGTGATCGGTATCATTCAAATGGCAAAGATTTATTGAATCCATAAAAATCATCCATGTGAGAATTGTTGAGACAAAATCCCTCATGGGCTGACAAGGCCAGGATTCACTTAATGGTGAAAAAGAGTGGCTCAGGAAGCATGAAACTCCATTTTCACTCATTCATTGCGCATTTTTTCAGCAGAGGATCTTTGATACGCACTCCATTTATGTGATCTTTGGAGTATTTGCAACAAAATATCTAGATGAATTCATGCCAGAAAAAGAGAACAAAATAATGGGCAAGGACCGGAAGTATGAAACAAGACACTAGCAGCTTAAATACTGGGGCAGGGTTATAAAGTGAACCAGATAAAACAATAACAGGAAATGTGATAGAGTTGTGGGAAAGCAGTGAAACTGAGGAAGGAGATTAAGTAACCCAGATGAATCCGAACTGAGACTTAACCAAGGAACCAGACACGAGAAGAAGCCTGACAATAATCTAAGACAAATAAATTCAAACATATACTGAAACACAGAGAAATGAACTGTGTAGCATAAATAACTGATAAGAAAGTGTTTGAACAAAAACCTACCTCACTAACGTGACATCAGGGCTCACTTTGCATGAATTACTCCATCTATGTGGTGTTGGAGACCCATACTGCTAAAAACCATAATTCAGTTTCTCAGAAAAAAAAAAATCACATAACACAAATTAAAATGTTTTTGTCATATTAATGTAATATAATGTTCAATGATGGTGACTTGACAGTTGTCCAGCAAGCAACTACTGACACACTCCACAAGTAGGGTAAGCAACAAATGGACAATGTTAAAGATAATATCCAAGTATCTTCCCATAAAGTTAAGTGGAAGGAAAAACTGTGGTTAAAAAGTGCACAGGATACACATAACTGTAGACAATTGCCGCCTTTGCCATCTCTATAAAGCTTTTAATGAGAGGAAAGCAGGAAATACCCGTCATTTTCTTATAGACTGTTATGCTGGCTCAACCTCAACTATCTTGCCTCTCCACTCTTCCTCCTGATTCTGGGACCGTGTTTTCCAAATCCAGTTCTTTGCTCAGCAATGGTCTGCAGTTATATGCTTCTTGTGAACTTCTCTTCCCTACAGATTTTCTTCCCACTCAACGTTTTGGTTATATATTTCGGTAAGTTCCTTTAACATTGACCATTTGTTGCTTACCCTGCTTGTGGAGTGCATCAATGGCTGGCTGCTGGACAACTGTCAAGTCAGCAGTCTTCCCCATGACTGTGTTGGGCTTTACATAACATTTCTGTATCAAAAATCCCTTCTTGTTGGTTTTACGTAATATTTTTCTGAGAAATTGAATTTAGTTGTAAGCCATGATGATTCAATTAACAAAAACAAACACAAATCAACATTTTAATTTAGTTATTGAATATTTTGACATTTTGATTACAGTAATGTAAGATTAATTATTTTCACATTTCAATTAATGTGGTTACATACAAGATCAGTTATTGACTAAAGTTGATTTATAGCTAAGGAGTTGTGCTGTGCCTTTAAGAGGAGCCGCTTCCTTCTTCTTCGTTGTTTTTTTTTTATGAGGCTCCGAGAAGGTTTTTCTGTTACGTTAAAATGAAAGTTGAATAAACGGGTGGACAGCTACTCTATTCCCTCTCAGTGTTCTGCTTTTTCTCCACCCACGACCTCCTATTTTGTGGTAACACGTATTTAGCCCCACATCGTAGTGTTACACTAATTTAATGGAAAGTGACAAAATCACGTTTCCAGGCATACCTGAAATTACTTTCAATATACAAAAATCACAATTCCTATGTCCACATAATTCCTTCTGTGTGCTAAAGTTTGCTAAAAAAAATCATTATTAATCTTCATGCAGCCTTCGTTTCACCCTGCAGTTGTGCACCTGGACGCCTCAGAGGTTCTGGAGGTGAGCGGCCATGTTGGAGGAAACATCTCCATCCACTGTTTCAGCAGCTGGTCTCCAGTCAACGTTTCTGAGCTCCACAGCGTACATTTCTGCAAAGGCGTCTGCTCCGGCGAACACACTGTCATTCAGATGGAGATGACGAGCTCTGCGGTGACACGGAACGGGAGATACAGCATGGAGTCTAATGGAAGAGACGGCGGGGTCTTTACTGTCACAATAAACCGGTTGATGAAAGCCGATGCTGGAAGCTACCTCTGTGGAATGACGAGAACCTTGAACGTCACGTACCAGGAAGTTAGACTAAAAGTTGTAGATGGTAAGTATTTGGCGTAGAAGAGAAATACATTTTTGAAGGATAACACATCAAATTGTTCATATACTTTACAAAGTCGGTAGCGATAACTCGGGGGAGGGGGTCGGGGGATCCAAGGCAGCACAAAAGTTTAATTTAGCAAGCAACTATGCTTTACCCTTTGACAATGAATTGCACATGTTTCATTTCTGTGCTGATTTAAAGTTTGTTTTTATGAAGAAGAAACACAATTTTCATATTAATACTTTAAAAGTGTGTGTACATGTGTGTTTACTTGTATCGATTACATACAAGTAACCGTTTTCATCAACAAATGGAGGACTTTTGTGGAACATGATGACATTTTTTTGATCTGCGTGGACGTTTTTTCAAGTAGAATGTAATCAAATAAAAATAATTATTTGTTTATTAAAACTGTGGCATGTCTTTAACTTGTCTCCAGTTGCTATGGTTACTTACCATTATCTTGCTGTCTTAACATTTATTAGAATTTTGCAACCAGTAATTCAAGAACAACCGGTTAAACCAGAAAAAACAGTAATTCAAGAACAACCAGTTCTTCTAGAACAACCAGGCAAAAGTCTGAACAGACCAACCAGAGGAATTAGAAAATTATTGACTGTAATTCAGGAAAGACCAGTAATACAAGAACAACCAGCAATTCAAGAACCACCAGCAATTCAAGAATCAGGAGTTGGAGCAAACACCAGTTTTACAGGACCAACCAGTGGAATTAGAAGATCCATGATGGCACCCAGTATCTGATTGTTACAGTCTGGTACATTGTCTTTAAAACTGTACCTGCCCACATACCAACTTTTCTCAAAACTGCTTGTCTTTCCTGGTTCTCCTGGTTCTTCTGTTCTGATTCAGCCAGCCTTTCTCGAAGCAGAACATTTTCATTCATCAACTCCGTGTTCTGCCTGCACAAGTTCTTGATTCTTTGATGATCTCTCCGCTGTTGGCTACGCAGATGGTCCAATTCTTTCTAAAGATCATCCAACTCTCCAGACTGCTGATCCATCTTCTCCTGTGCCCTTTTCAGGTCTGTCCGAAGCTCCTGGATTCTCCTCTGAGAAATTCTTGGATGTGTTCTAAAGATTGCGCTTCCTCTCTCCCAACCCTATATTTGCGCTCTCTCTCATCAAGCTCTGCATAAACCGACACCAGCTGCGCATGGAGTGCATTGTTTTGAGTTTCCAGAATATCATATTGTGCTTGCAGGCGACCAGGCCTGCAAGCACTTGCGCGAGACTTGAAGTCCTCGATTTTACATTGGAGAAATTCGACAGTCTGTTTAAATTCTTGATTTTCCTTCCTCAGTGTCCTGTCCACCTTGTTATCAAAAGTTTTTTCTTATGAAATGCTGTCAAACTCTTCAGTCACAGGTGTGTCACTCCTTTTTTTGAGCCATTGTTTTTATCCGTGGTGCTGAAAAGTCAAAATTGTTGGTATGTGAAATCAAGTGTTCTTCTGACATGTAGATAATCTGACATGTACAGCAAATGAGTTGGGATTAAAGGAAGATAGAGCATGAGTGACATCACTGGTTCATCAAAGCGGCTAGAAGCCTGTTGTGTCTGGGTGTGTATTCTGTATTTGATACCTTGTGGGGACCATTTTACTGGCACACAGGGGCGCGGTCCATCTGTGTGTAGTTCAATGTCAGTCGTAACTCCAGCGGTTTCTTTAAGGCCTCAGCAAGAGATCACTAGTGAACAAATAACATCACAACGACCAAGAAACACAGCAGACAAATTAGGGATTAAATGATGGAGAAGTTTAAATTAATTATTAATCATTGCTTACCATCTTTTTCATGTTTCTACCAGTAATTTGGTGATTTTTGCTGAGTGATGATATCCAATAATTGAAATTGGAAAACTCCTTTGCCTTCACCTTAGTCTTTTGTTCTATACATGGATGCTCTATAAGATTAAAGTCAAAACTCTATTATAGCCACTCCAAAATGTTAATTCTATGTTGGTAAAATCAAAAAATTGTTCTTCAAACATGAATCTGTTAGGGGAATGAACATTTTAGCCGTGACTGCAAGTATTTAGTAATACCTTTTCAGCTATAGCAAAATGGTCAAACCTATATATCTGTCTGTCACAATAACTGATTTTGGTTCCATTCGACTCTGTGTATCTCAATCTTGACTGACTTGAAAGACTCTGACATTTAAATGAAAAATATGTGAATGTGTACATATAATTTTTTTTTGTTTTAATTTTCTTGTTTTTGACTATATGTCACATGAGTCCAGACCTATGTAGCGATATTGTCTCTCACTAGTCATGCTGTTTCTTGGTCTCTCAAAGCTTTCACTGTTCCAGCTGGATCCTCTATAACTCAGAGTACCGTCCTGCAGACGGGGCTACTCTCTCCCAAAGGCGGCGTTCCGTCAAGCAGCAGAGCATCCGACGTACCAATCACGCTGCCACCTTCAGAGAGGAAGAGAAGACAGAAAGAAGCAAACAACTTCACAGGTAGTACACAAAAGAGCAGCCATCGAAATACATTGATCAGCTTCATAATAATTATTTGGATAAGTAATTCATATAAATACAAATTGTATTAATGTATAGTGCAGAAAAGAAAGTTGATTTCTATTAAAATAAAATTATATAAATTACAGTAAAACAGAACAGATATTTTCAAAACGCTTATTCTAAGTCAATCTAATTTATTCTAATATAAGTGGTAAAACCTGGTTACTAAAATGTAAAAAAAAAAAAAAAAGAATCAAAAAAGTAATCTTAGACAATATTTGACTCCAACAGCAGAAGCAGAAAAACTGAGCTTGTAAAAATATAAAATATATAAGACAAGGGTGACCTTTAAGTCATCAATAAAATCTTGAAATCTATATAAAAAACATGTAGTAAGAAAAAAAAAAGAACTCTAGCTGCAGCAATTTAAACCAATTTGTTTGTGTAAGCTTTGCTGGCTGAGGCAAATTTATAATGAGTTCCAATTATTGAATTTAGGGAAGATAATGAATCATGAATGACCACATCTGTTTTGGTTAAAAGTGAACCAAACTTACAGGGTTCCTTCAGCTGCATAAGCAGGACTGCACAGCTGAATTCATATACTGGCTTAAGATGAGAATCATTTCAACTCACAGGCCTTTTGTCGTTTTGGATGAATTTTATAGACAGAAATGTGCATAGATCTAGCAAAGATCACATCAGTCTTATCCATTTTTAAATGAAGGCTGATCTGTGCAGTCCAACTTTAATATTTTGTTAGATTGTAAACTTTTTTTTTTAACAAATATTCATTACAGAGTGAAACTGGTGGCACGCATTTCTGCATTGATATTGAATCTAATTGTGTTGTAAGATGCCTTGATTTGTTGCAAATTACTAAAAAATATAAAAAAATAGTAAAATGATCTCAATACAATCATTCAAAGCATCCAGTTTACAAGTGTTACTGGTGTTGAAAGAGACAATGTGTCAAAAAAGTAAAAATGTCAGCTGTCTGGAGCTGCCATCTGTAAGAAACCAAACATCAGAGGACCAAACACACACCCCTGTCTCTGTTTTTAAAATATGACTAACTTGGCAGTCTTTCCTTCCACACTAATGTTACACAACTACAACTTTGAGTATATAAATGCTAATTTTTTTGTTTGTCCTGTGCAACCAATAATTGTCCAACTTCCTAATTCCAGTTGTAAATACATTATTTTAATAATGATAACCTTTATTTAACCAGATAATGGGTATTAAGTTAGCAAACAAAATGCAATGTCAGGGAAGAATAATGGCAACACTGACATAAAGTTGCCCCTTGGGAAAAGTACATTAACAAAGAAGTAGAAGAATAATGAAGTAGAGAATCAGAATGTTGAGGTAACAAAAATATAAAAACCAGCTACCAACCTGTTAGGAATATTACTGTAAAATCTTGCTTTTTAAATACAATTGTATAAAAAGTGTAGTAACCAGTAGTCTCTGTTGTCTGCAGACATGATGGTTGTTATAATCGTCTCCGGTAGCCTGGCTTTTCTGGTTTGTGCCATTATTCCTCTGATATTCTACAGACACTGGCGGAATACGGGCGGTGAGGCATCACAAACGGAGCATTTCCAAAGTTTTCCTGCCTGAAACAGCTAAATTAATATTTTCATGTGCTTGTTTCAGGTGAGAAGAGATTGTCAGTTAACAAAAACGAGGTAAAGTCGGTTTCTATCCGATTTGTTTCGTAATTGAAAACATAGACATAATAAAAATGTAATCATTCTCAGGACGACTGCTGCCATGGAGACGTAGAAACTGCCTCCACTCAGGTCGCGATGGGGATTCAGACTTCAGGTGAAGACGACCATCCAGGATCTGGTGCAGACGACAGCCTCCGGTATGCAGCGGCGTACGAGGGGCTGGATCCCAGAAGCCTCGAATGAGCAGGAATTACTCTGTTTCTGTGCAGCTTTTTTATTGTAAAAATCACTCACTGAATTTTCAGTAAAAACAATAAACATCTCTTTGAATATTTATGTGTTCCATATAATGTTTTAGACTTTGGAGAGTGATAACTGAGGCAAACAAAATATTGAGACCTAGACAAAGATGCATGTTATTCAGTATTGACATGGCAGTACGCAATTAAAAGTTGACAAAAAGACCAGCAGAGGGCGCCACACAAGTGTTAAATAACAACATGTCTGTTTTAGGAGTATTTTATAAATGTAGTTCAGCAATTTTTTTCACTTTCATAAGGTTTGTGAAGCTTAGAGCTAACAAATAAAATTAGTTATTTGACAATAATACAGTTACTCATTATTGTACCTGTTGAATATTCTTTGTTTTGTGAACGAATCATTCCGTGAGGAAAAAAGAAAATCAACCTCCAAACTACAAAATTGATCCCGTTTGTATTGAAACTTTTACACTAAATCTATAAAACTACTAATAGTCTGTCACCGGCTTTTAATATTACACCAAAAATTTGCTTTATTTCTAAAATATGATTGTTCTTTTCTAAAATAAAAACTGTCTAGAGCAGTTTTGGTCTCAAAACCAGTTCACCAGCTGTCTATGAATGGTACACTAGCCGAACCCTTCTTCTGAGAATCCATCACTACATAAACACACACTGAATAACTGAATGTTCATCTAATTTAAGCCTGATGAAAAAATAAACAACTTAGAATGCTTTTTATGGGAGTTTGTTGTGTTTTAACATATATCAAGGTTTTATGAATTTTAAATATTTATTCAACCCAGTTTAGGTATTTAAAATTCAGAGATAAACTTGTGAACTAGAGCTGTTCGTTTTCCTACAGTTTACATATTTTAAAACACTGGGGGGCGCCACTTCCCGTTGACTGAACAACCAAATTTAAGTGTAATGCAACAACCATCCTCTTTTCTACCCACGTATTTCCTGTCTAAGGTCAAATGTGTGGTTTGGGTCTTTCCCAACAACCAGATGACTAAATGTTGTTACACTTATACTAACAGGTGCATTGATTTTATTAATGTATTTTAACCATATTATCAATTCAGCATGTTTAGTGTACACTCACCCCTGTTTAATAACAGGTTTTTGCAATGTGAAATAATGAGGGTCATAAATGATTTTTTAACTTTTTCAACACAAAACAAAACATTTATCTTGATTAACTGACAAACAAAAGAAACATTAAATTAAAAAAACAGTGATAATAACCTTGTTGCATAAGTGTGTATATATATGTGTGTGTGGATGATTATTACGTTGAACCGTTTTTTGATTTGTTTTCAGCTCTCGGTTTTTAATTGTCGGAAACAGGTAGCATCAAACATGTTGACGCTGATATTTATGACTACCTTGCAAAAGTTCACGAGCCTCTGTCATGTTTCACATGAGCCTACGCATGGTAGGTGATCATCAGCATCGTTCTCACACGTAGTTTTTGAAATAGTTTCCACGTCTGGATGTTTTCACGTAACCCTATTGTTAGCTTAGACTTTTGAAGAAAACAGGAGGATGTAATTTTGGAGAAATGCTTAGTTTTAGTCTTGTCACATTTATTTATGTTTTCTCATTTTTCTGACAATTGCTGTCACTGATACATTGTGTATATAAAATCCTATGGAATTTTTTGTACTCTTCTTCTGACTGATACCATTGTACAAAGTCATTCTAAAGCTTCTGTAAACTAAAAGATGTAAATGAGCTATTGTCAGTACTAAAACATCTGAACCTTTTCCCCAGGTTTTACAGATTCAGTATAATTTAAGGTAATAAACCCAATAAGCCTGAATGCTGAAAATCAATCTCATGCTTTACAAAGTATATATATATATTTAAAGATATCCACAGTTATGTAACATTATTGCCATATTTCTCACATTTGCTCCACCAAACACTTTTTCATGCTTGTGTTTAGTCAAATACTTTTCACATTGTGCGTAAAAATGTCTTAAAATTATTATGAACATGTATTTTGACATCATAAAACCGTTGTAGTTTAACAAAGGTGTACACTTCTTGGAGCTACTGTAAATTAAAACAAAGAAAACACTGAGTAAACTATAAAAATAATATTGTTTAATCTTTTCATGGAACTCAAGTTCCACTTTTTGACAAGTTTGACAAATCCATATTAGTATTAAAGAAGAAAGCAAATCAAGGTTTTTCATGCAGAAACATTTTGTTTAGTTTTTAATTGTGTACTTTAAGGCTTTTTTTTTTTTTGGTTGCATTTTTTTTTAAATTTTTTTCCAATCTTCTTGATTTATTGCCCTGGTGGCATTTACGTCCTTGTTTCACAATTTATTTCACAAGTTTTTTTGGTAAGGTTTTTTTGTGTGTGTGTGTGTGTGTGTTAATTTTCATTCTAATCTGTCTTGGCTACATTCAACATTGATTCCACTGCTTTTCCTTATTTCTTGTTTTATTTTGAAAATCTCAACACCACCTTCTTTTTATTTACTTTCTGTTTCTGTCACAGCAAGTCTCATGCTGATTAATACCACAAATAGTACAGGGGTTCCTTATTTTTAACCTGAATACATTGTTACTGAGCCCACGCTCTCCTTTTTCCTACTAGATCACAACAGAAGTATCATCTGGGGATTTTTGTACTGGTGATAAAAATAGCCGATTATGAACAAATCAAAAAATGGTGTGTTGTTTCTAGGTAAAAGAAAAAATATGTTTCTACTGCACGTCTACTATAGTTCCTCAAACAAATTAGACTTTGTCACTGTGTACATATATGTACATTTAAGCCTCCAGGTTCAAAGATACTCAGATAAAAATTAATCTGTTAGTTTGTTTTTTGTTCAAGAAAACAGCGGGGAGATAGGGAAGAGTGGGGTAAGTTGACCCGCACCCTCAACATGTTGCCATAAATTCTGCAAATATCCACTTTTCTAATGCATTTTTTTTTTTTTTTGCTTGTCAAAGTAAATATTTTATATTTCAGCAGTTATCACTGTTATGTGAAAGGAAATTTAAACTGATATAAAAATTTATGCCATAGATGTTGACAGTTTGCCAGCATATTAAGCCATTTAGCTAAAGATCTGTTCGAATTGCTAAGCTAGGTCATTTTTTTCTCCAAAGTGGTGGCTGTGGGTCAAACACCTTGGGGATAAATTGAGTCAGTGCTTCCATGACCTGTCTCCAAGTAAAAAATGTGAACTGACATTTGAATTAGCAAACAGAAACATGATTCTGTTTCACGTTTGGGAGGCAAATCATTGTGTTGGTGTTAGAGAGCATGTAGGTGGATAGCCGCTGAGGTGGTCATCATTCTGGAACGTTCTCCTCTCTCCAAAGCCCCTAGGCCAGGGATGTCAAACTCCAGTCCTCAAGGGCCAGTATCCTGCAACTTTTAGATGTGCCTCTGCTGCACCACACCTGAATATTATAATTAGGTGATTAGCAAGGCGCTGGAGAACTTATCTGCACAAGGAGGAGGTAATAAAGCCATTTCATTCCAGTGTTTTGTACCTGTAGCACATAGAAAAACTGCAGGACAGTGACCCTTGAGGACTGGAGTTTGACACCTGTGCCCTAGGCCCTTCCTCCCTGATCACTCAGTTTAGCCAGCACCAGGATGAGTCTGCATGTTTCCAAACTTCTTCCATTTAAGAGTGACAGAGGCCACTGAGCTCAATGGGATCACCAAAGCAGCAGAAAATATTTCTGAATCCTTCTCCCAATTTGTGATTCAAGACAATCCGGTCTCTGAGACCTAAAGACAATTCCTTTGATTTTATGCTTGGTGTTTGACCTCTGACCTGACGTGTGTGGCTTTCCACATAAAGTCCAATCAACTGAATTCACCACAGCTGGACTGTAGAAAGATCTCAAGGATGATCAGTGGAAACGGCTCAATTTTGAGCTTCGTGACAAAAGGCTGTGAACACTTACGGAAATGTGTATTATAGGATTTCTAGTTTTAATAAATTTGTCAAACACTCCAGTTTCATTTTGGTATATTTGTATGTAGAATTGGAATAAAACTGTAATGTAACAAAATGAATATATTCCAAATGCACTGTATATTGAGATAAAATGACTGCGACATGATTTTACAAATTCTACTTTGAATACTGACAGCTGGTTAATGAGATAAAGCAGTATGTATGAACAAATGCTAAAACTAGCTGACATTTCCCTTCAACAAAAATTAAAGTCCATGTTAGATATTTTTTCCATGACTTCTGTCAAGTCCCTTCCACATTTCACTAATTTTATTGAGTTAAAGATTTACTTGCAAGTTTGTGGAGCTAAAGAAGTTACACAAACAACTGTGCAGCTAACCTGCTAGCTAACTCTGCCACGTTGTTCATATCTGGCTTAAAGCTTGTGTTGTGCCTAAAAAACATCACTACAGTGGCTGTTACATACAACAGGTTATTTTCTGTTGTATGTTCCACTTTTGCTTTTACATGCACACACTATAGCGACGAGTGGTATAAAGTATTATTTCGCATTTCACTGAAATATGAAGACATATTGGAATCCTAAATCCTGTTTGGTATATTAAAAAAACCCCTTCACTGGATTCCAACGAGGTTCTGCATACTGTAGAAACTATCACTTCTCTTGGGTTGCTGACGCCCACAGCTCCCATCTTCTGCTGTCTGCAGTAGAAACCACAGGAAGCTGTCAGGGGGGGTGAAGGCTTGTTTACATGTAATTCCATTAGTGAGAGCTCAGACGGCAGTGAGGCTTAGCACCAGATTTGATCTCTGCGTGCTCTTCTAACTGTACCTACTCTACAGTGACCACCGAGCCACAATGAGGAGCCTCTCTGTCCTCTGCTGTCTTTTTACAGGTATGTAGTAGTTATACACCACAGAAATGTAATTATTGTAAATAATTTTAAAATGCTCAGCTGAAGCCTAACATAACGTAAAATGATTTTCACAGTGATGGCGACACTTGGAGCCGAGATCAACGTTGAGGGAATTGAAGGGGGAGAGGTGTCGTTCAAGTGCTCTCACAAACTGGCACATAACAACAAAAAGTACTTCTGCACAGACCCGTGCAAAACCAATGAAGACATTCTGGTTGACGTGTCCCCTGGTAAGATTGCCACCTCTGGAAGGATAACTCTGGTGGACTCTGAGGACGGCTCCTTCACAGTTAAAATCACACAACTTCTTCTGTCAGACGCACACGTGTACTGGTGTGCCGTGATCAGGTCCATCAGCAACACGTACACGTCGGTCAACCTGACTGTACATAAAGGTATGTTTCGTCTTTAGTGTAAACCAGAGACTTCTGTTTTCCATCTATCACTGCTTGTTGTTAGTGTTGGATTCGTATGCATGTCTACGTGTATGAGCAATTAAGTAGGAAATATATTTTAGAGAACGACTAAAAATCTGAAAAATAAATTGGGCTGTCCTGCTAGTTCGTGAATAGTCTTTCTGGAAACCAATTTTAAAAAGTATGCAAGCAACACCTCTAAGCAGAACTGAAGTTCCTTTAAATGCTTCGGTTTGTCTGAATAGAAACTGTCTCAACCAGTTTTATGATAAGTTGTAAAACTTTAAAAAAATTAAAAATTTGTTCTGATGGATAAATATTTTATCTATCCAGGGGAACGATCAATCTCACGCTTAAGGAAGCGATGACATTGTGGAAGTTTGTCACTCAATTTATTTTATTAATCAAATTACATCAAATATTATATTTTACAAATATTACCAAATGCTATAACTGAGTGAATGAAATGCACTCACAAAAAATCCTACACAATTTGTACATCACTACAAAAATCAAGAGGATAGAGTTTTCTGAATAAGAATTGTTTGAAATAAAGTTTGAAAATATTATCATTGGTCCTAGTTAAAAAAATATCACACTTTTATTGACAGATTGTCCCTTTCCTGGAAGTTTTAATGCAGGTGGGTTTAAAATTAGACCTAAATTCTAAGACCAATTTTGAATTTGACTGGGGACATGAATTTGTGGCTTTAATTCAAAATTTCAAAACCACTTGGCCACCACAAAAAAAATCCACATCAGAACTCAACAGAGGACGTCATAACGTGGTCTGAAATGAGGTTGTTGGGTCATCCCTTTCTTAGAACCGACTTTGGACTGTGGTATGTGCAGGACACCACACACTGTGAAACCTTGCTGTTGGTCCAGCCAGTCGATTGGACCCAGTTTGCATCAATCTGGAGCCAAATTAAGAATTATTTAAAAAAAAAAAAAAAGGAACTATGCTGGTTAAACCGAAGTTTGTCTCTCTCATTGAATAAAAGGGGAATAAAATAAAACCTTGTGAGATGTAAACAAAAGCAAATGAAAGTGACTGATTTGGACTGTTTGATAATTCAGCCTGGTTGAATCAGGCAGAATGCTGTCGTGGATTCTTTTCTTCCCTTTATCAATCAGAATATCCGAAACCAGCAGAAGCTGATGGTGTCTGGGGGCAGAAATGCCAGCATGATAACAAGCCAGTAATAAATCTGATTTATTTTTGAATGCTCTTTTCTGACATAAAAAACTGACAGGATGAATCAATATAATCTCTGCATTCAAGGTACATACTTCATAATTGAGAAGGTTTGCACATTCAAGATGAACATTATTATTATTATTATTTTAGAATTGAACACAATGATCGTTGACTTCTAAAAGTTGCAAATATGAAAACTTTTACATTAATTTCTAAGTAGGTATAAATACAATCATTTAGGTTTTGTCAGAATTAGAAGATTTAGACCATGAGACACAACTAATGTTCATGAGACTAATTATGGTCTATGTGGTGTTGTAACATAAATATATTCATATTCAATAAATTACTGTACTGTTTAAATCTTTATTTATTTCACTAACTCATTCCACAAAGAGAAACAGATTATATAAATTAATAGGAGACTGTAACACAGAATTTAAGTGAGGGGTATTACATTGGACCAGTAAAAACATTTTTCATACAGAAATATCGGCTTAAAGAAAAGTACACTTAACACCTTCTTCTGAAAACCTTCTTTTGTTTCACTCTTCTGAACAGCTTTTAAAACAACGGTTCCACCCATTGTTTCTTCCTCCTGGTTTCCGACCGTCACCAACTCAACACAACTGACAACCCGCATGGGAACAAATGCGACAGGAAACATCTTAGAAGGTAGGAGAGCCTGTCATTTAATTTCATACGCGAGTCCCTGTACATTAAAATAATCAACACCTAATTCATGATCTCTGCTTGCAGTGATAAACAGCACCACTCCAACAGCCTCAGCCTTGACCAACATCAGCCTCAGTGAGTATCTCTCTACTCATCTGTTAAACAGTGTGTGCATGAGAACAATCAGATAACGTATTATATTTTTTTTTATCTTGCATCTGATCAGACCCTGTGCTGTTCGCTGCGGCCGGGACCGCTGCTACACTCATAATCTTCACCCTGGCAGCGTACATCAGGAAACGGCGAGAAATGTCAAAACCTCAGCTCCACCTTTGCCTCGACAACAAAGAACCCAGGAGTGAGGTCAGGAAGTCTCCTCACAACACACTTAAGCAACAGACTTGTTCTAAACAGCCGATTAATCAGAGCTGACAGAGCTGCTTTCTTTTCCTGGTTGCAGGGGTGGAACATATGAAACGGGTTTTTCCAAAAGCAAAATCTCTCTCTCTCTTTAAATCTGACTGTTTTTTGCGTAGGGGTGTTTTACCACCACATCTACTGTCAGTGTCAAATGGGTGTGGAACCTCAGAGAGGAATAGTTTGACATTTTAGAAAACATTTTGTTTATCCCACATCTAATGGAGGGATCAAGCATTTCTACAGTTTAACACCTCTGTCACACATCTGCTGGGGGTACAATTTGACATTTTAGTAAAACAATCACTCTCTGTCAGTCACTCACTCCTACATTAACAAATAGTGTGACATAGTAAACAACGTGAAAGAAAAAAGTTAGCCGAGAACTGAGCACTAAAACAAAATAAAACAAGTGATGAGTCTGCAGTTCTAGATTAATCCTGGGGTCTACTAGGGCTGTAGTGATACAATAATCTCATGATATGATACACGATATTCTGCTCACAATACGATATATATTGCGATATTCAGCAAACAATACAATTCAATACACTTTTGCGATTTTTCTGAAAGATTTTAGAGGGACAGAGTGATTTTGGTGACATTTTGTAACTGTTATAGCGTTGGATTGAATTAATTTAACTGAAAATTGATTAAAAGCACCAACTACACAATACCTCGCTCTGGTTGGACATGGACACAGACTTAAAGTCGGCAGCTGGACAAAATGAATCAAAGAAGTGGTGAGAAAACATGTTAAACATGTTTCTTTTAATTGAAACAGTACAAACTGTAGCTTACATGCATTTGTAAAGTAAATAAAGTGCACCAAGTACCCTGCTCTGAATAGTTTGATACCTTTTTAACCTTGGCACTTAACATCTAAAGGAATCACTCTAAGCCTGATGACCTAATCACTCTCACGGCGAAGCAAGCAGTGAGTGAGCGAGATGACAGTTGGATGTTACGATACCTGCGGATGAATATCGATTTTTTTCTAGTAAAGAAAATATCGATATATATCGCAATATTGATATTATTACACAGCCCTAGGGTCTACCATTGATGATGACTGGGGAAGTTATCCGAAATGACTCCATGGTTTTCTAGTGACAAAAAAATTTCTTAACAGTCATTCTCTCCTTCATTTGGCTCAGACACAGAGGAAAACAATACAAAAATAATGATTATAGAGGGCTATTTTTCAATTAGTTAAGAAAGTGGCATTCAGATGTCTGACTATGAATTCACAAAAGGTATAAAAATAAGAAAAAGAAAAATACAGAGAAACTCTTTGGGGGAAAAAAATATCTTACCATCAAACATTTATGCCAACATTCTGAGGTCTGGCAACTGATGGTGCTTTAAGATGAATGCTATTGAACTCCTTCAACGTGTTTGCTGTTAAATGATCCGGAGGAAACAAATGTTCCTACAAGAGAAGCTGTTGTGAGATCTCCATTAAGCAATGGATTTTATGTCAAGAAAACGTTTTGGTGGTGACCACAAACAGACGGAGCCGTTACAGACAATCCAAAAGTGTTGTAGTCAAGACC